TAAATAGTATACGTTGTAAGGTTATAAGATTCTTTAGAATATACTACTGCTAATACTAGCTACGGAACAGCGCTCCTATATATATTCTGCACAAAATGCACGTGCTCTGACACGTGCTCGCTAATCGAGCACGTGAGCTATACGGGCAAGCACGTGCACCGGAGCGGTGAGCTAGGCTTAGCAGAAACAGCAGAATCGTGACATTCTTCTCCTTTTCTCTTTTTTGTTAATAGACTATTAGTATAATATGTATATATAGTTATGTATCTTTTTCTTTTTCTTTGAATTCTTCTCTTTTCGCTTTTTTTTGATATATTAAATTTTTGGAAAGATATATATATATATATATATGTAAGTTTCTCTTCTCTTCTCTTTTCTTTTCGCTAATCGACTAGACTATATATAATACGTAAGTTCATCTTCATTTTCATTATAATTTCTCCTAAAGACTCGGATTGGATACTTTTTTTTATCAGTAAGTATAAGTAAGGGAAAATGTAACACCTTTTCTTTTCTTTCGAGTACTTGAAATTCTGATATTTATTCATGTTTGTCTATTTTCATATACAGGTAAGTCAAGTCAGTCTTCCCCCCCCCCCCTTTTTCGCTAACCGATTGTATAAACAGGTTGATTCATTTCATTTTCTTTTCTTTCAAACTATCCTGTTTGTATCCTCGTTCTCATCCCAACTAGATAGAACCAGAATCAAGATGATGACCATACCATACCATAATAAAAATCAAAATCAAAATCAAAAATCAAAATGCCCATCTCAGAATCAAATTAATTCCATGGTTGATGGTTCAAGCTCAAGCTCAAAATCAAGCCTCCAGCATATACATCCAAGGTTCCTAGATGCGTTCATCAAACCAGTAGTGTGAATTGTGAATTGAAGTTACTGCATAATCCGGACATGGCAAAGTTGCTACCGGTCGGAGCTTAAAGCAAAAATCAATCAATCAATCAATCACTGCCCCGCGATGGATTGTTTAGTTGGCTGATTACATACATATATTTCAAATTTTGGATTGGATAGGCCATCCATCCGCATCTGGGGAATAATCATTTGATATAGTTGGTCTCTTAGTCTAGAGAGAGGGCTTCAGGTAAACGCTCAAGCTATATGTCTGAATGTAACCTACATTCATTCTCCCTTTTATATACACTGCTATGCTATGCCGCCTCCACTTTCCCTTTGGTAAAATGCGGTTTAGCGTTAGATGATATATATATTAAGATATCAAGATAAGAGGTGTTGAAGTTGGTGATCTGTAGATAGAGGGGGTGGAGGGAGGGGTAGACTTATTGGGATTAGCTTAGCTTCATAGGTTCGGGTGGATTTACATGGTATAATTATAATTATAACTATAACTATAACGCACAACAATAATAATAATGCCAACGTTTAAAGACCCTTCTCACTCATACTTCCCTGCCACTCTATCTATCCTGTAACAGTAACAGTAACAGGCCATTCCGCTCAACAACGCACAGTATCCGCCCCCTCCTCAAACAACAACACAACCACCCCCAACGCACCTCTCACACTCAACCCTAACAAACTCCCAAACCACCACCGCCCCCTCCGACTCCCCCTCCCTAACGGACCCAGACTCCCCCTCCGGAATCTGCGCCAAAGCGCCCCCCCTAACCCCAACTTTCCACAACCGATCGAAATGCGTCATCATCATGAGATAATAGCCCCCGTCGGGTCTGGCCCGTGCGGAAAAGCGCTCCCATCCCCATCGTTGCGTCGAAGAGCAGACGATGCTGCCGTGGAGATTGTGTCCGAGGTAGCATCCTGATGCGGTGTTTTGGAAGTACAGCCAGCCTTTGGCTTCGGTGCATCGCCACTGTTTGTTGGTTAGGTTAGGTTAGGGGGAGGGGGCGAGGATATGGGGATGGGAAATGATGGGATGGGATGGGATGGGATGGGATGGGACTCACGTGGATGCTTCCGTGATGGTTGCCGGGGGGAGCGAGGACGATGGTCCCTGAAGAGAGGGTTAGGAGGTGTCCGGAGGAAGAGGCTCGGATGAGGAAGGTATGGTTCGGGCATGGGACGGAACTAGATGCATCAGCAGCACCATTGTTGTTGAAGGGGGTCATCGGATCGCAAGTGGGAGTGGCGGTGATGGTGGACGCGGGAGTCATGGCAGTGTAGATAGTCAAGCCGTCATATTCGTCGGTCTCGTTGACTTGATTTTCGGAGGCCATGGTATTTATTGTATTAATGCGTGCACGGCGGTAAATGTATGACGTCTTCCTATCCTATTTTATCACAGGCAAAGGATGAGGCTGTGGCTTTGTATCAAAATGAAGTTGTTGCTGATTGTTAAGATGGGCTTGTAACATGAACAAATAAATAGCCGCTGTGAATTCTTGTGCTTACTGCTGCCAATAGGACATATCACATATCATAATCGATCATATTCCGACTTGAAAAGGATCAAAAGAGGCGTGCCCTAGAATTAAAAAGAAAAGAAAGAGTATAGTCATCCTCTGAAACTTTCCTTCCCTTCTTCCCTTCATAAAAGAAAACATATGGCCTTCCTGCCATCAAGGGTAGAACCGGGCATCTCTCCCTCCTCAGATGTCACATTCCACTACTTCCTACTGGTTGCCGTAATCCTGGATATGCGATTCGATCACCTGCTTGCAATATCATTGTGATTCTGCTTGCTCTTTCGGCATCATCATCATCATATTTTCTTTTGAATATCCTTCATCAGTAGCATGGAACTCTGATTTGGGCCCCCCACTCATCTTGCTGCGGGCATCCTTTGATTATCTTCTCGGGACAAATCAAATCGATGCCTTTCCGACAGATGAGGATATATCCTCATCCTTTCCCATGATTGTGCAGGATCCGATCGAGGAGGAAGAAAACCTGTCCCCTCCCAACATCGAGCGGTCGCCTCCCAACACTGGTTCCATAGTTCCAAACCTTAATATTACAATCACAGAGGGGGATTTGATCGTAAAAAAGATCACCGGCAAACATACTCCTTTCCTGATCTCCCAGCGCTATTGATTCGATAAAGTCTAATCAGTAAAACAGCAAGAAAAAAAGGGAAGATAATGAGATATACTTCATAATAAACCCCAATACTCTTCGGAAAACTCGTGAAAAATATATATGTATATTTTGGTGGTGAACTATGTATGAATATTGACCAAACTCACCTAGGCTTCGGTTTGGTAGCCATGGGGATAGGAGGTGGTGTACCATTTCCAGAAATACTGGTCCCTAATTCCAACTTCTTTTTAGGAAGAGGCGGAGGAGCCGGTTTCTTTTTTCCTAGGACTGACTGTCCATTTCCATCTCCATTTCCATTTAATCCACCAACGCCATTTCCTCCCGAGCTAGCAACATTTTCCCCCGTTCCATCATTTCTCCCCTGCATGACCCCCCCATACGAACCAACTTTCTCCGCAATTCCATATTTGGTGTTCAATTTATTCGCAGATGCCCAACCGGATTTTACCTGTTCACCATGTCTTTCTCTGAAATTATTTGCCGTGCTAGCGGCTGCTCGGGCATCGGATAGAGAGACTGAGGTGGGATCTTTGTGGAATGCCGATGCGGTTTTTAGCGCGGCTTGTTTTTGGGCAAAGGTTGTTCCTGAGGTTGGGGGTGGGGGGTTGGGTGATGAGGAAGATGTTGATGATGATGATGATGATGATGTAAGTTTGGAGAATCGGGATTGGAGTTCGTTTACTTGTGGCGAGGAAGTTCTTGGGGGTATTTGTGGTGAGGATGTTCTTGCGGGTGGAGGTGGAGGTGATGAACTTTTTGAATTTCTTGGAGATGGTGGTGGTAATGCTGGTTTTGATTTTGTAGATCCAATTCCAAATCCAGGTACTGATATTCCTGCGGCCCCTAATCTATTTAATGCCCCTTGATTCAATATACCTTTATGTGGATCTCCTTCTGCTGCTGTAGCCGCACCATATGTAGGAGGTGGTGACAGAGCCGTAGGTGTCGGACTAGAAGTTTTCCGTGGTGGCAATCTAGGTGGTAGACAGGGAGGTTTGGGTTTGCCAGTTATAGGAGTAGAAGATGGTATTCTACCATCTGCTCCATCTTTTCTCCCAGGTGGTGGTGGTAGATGTGCTACCGATAATCCAGTTGTATTTGCACGATATGGCATTGGTGGGGGTTTAGGTTTTGAGGCTTCTTCTTCTTGTCTCCTTCTTTCTTCCTCTTCTGCTTCTTGTCTTGCTCTTATTTCATCCTGTGGGATTGGAGCTCCCAATCCTCCTGTATCTGATTTTGTTTGATATGATAAACTGGTCGGGGGTGATAAAGCGGCAGATCCATGATATCTACCACTTTTTGGTGGTGGACCGAATGATGAAGGATCTTTCAATGAGGATAAAGGTCGTGACTGATGTTCCAAAGCAGTTTCTCTTGATGTATCTTTACCTTTTCCCATCCTATTGAATATTGTATTTGGATTAGCTCCAGAATCCCATCTTCCTTGAGAAGGGGGATAAAACCTACCATCCAGCTACTTGATTAATGCCCTTGAAATCTCCTCTCCAACTTTCCTTTGGTTTTCCATCTTTACCTTTTGGATGCCATCCGCTTTTCAAAGTCTCTTTAATTCCAGACATGATGGATGATGGGTGATGGGTGATGGGTGATGTTAATGGATGACGCTCCCGAGGAATTATTGGCTTGAATGGATCGGAACTTATGTAATCGCTTTGCTGTACTAGTTCCAAGTTGGTATATAAATCAACCAGTCGTTATTTACACGATTTAACTCGAATCGACTCTAATTTACGTTTAGCAACGATAAACTTACCTTCGCTTAATTAATTCCTAAAGTCCGAATATCACATTCCAAGTACGCTGCCACCAACCAATATGCAGGCAGAACGTTAACAAGGGCACAGCAAATACGATTTCCCTTTCAATCATCCACCCAGTCTCACATATAATAATCAATATAACAAGCAGAGGGTATCATCAAACAACAAGCATCGGCTTGGACCAGTGGCCTAATGGTTAAGGCGCCAGATTTCGGTATGGATTCTCTGGAGATTGGGAGTTCGAATCTTCCCTGGTTCGTGATAAGTGCTGTCTGTATTCTTGTGCTTGAATCAATTAACTTTTAGGGTTCTTGTCCTTTTCCTTTTCCTTTTTCGCTTTTTTCCACGTTTTTTCGTTATTTATTCGTAGAGGAAAGGGGTAAGTAGGTAGGTAGGTTTCTGGAATGTCTATCCGTAGTCAAGACGAAGTAATGCTAACTCTACCTACTTACTTGAGGATGGGAATTTCTAGAGAAAGTGTCTATTGAGAATTCAACATCAGAGCATGTAACGTAATTCATATATCAAGATGATAAATGTATTTTGACTTAATCAACCTTCACATATCACCTTGACGTCCTTCTTGGCAAGGCAGGTATAGAAAACCTATAGAGAGGAGCGAGTTTATCAGAACCACCACAAGGTTCAGGAGATTTTAGAGATTTTGTATTGGCAATATGAGCGGATCTCTCGGATCTACAACCAGCTGCTCCCTTGACCACTTTTCTTTCTCTGCAGAAAATCCCAAAAGCTTGTTTGTTACCAGCGAGTGCTAGACGAGATTGACCGTTGGCCACCTGCAGTAAACCCATCTGATCATTGAGCTAGCCAGATTATACTCATCTAATGGAGGTCTCCTGGTCTCAAAAGATGGCTGATCGAGAGAGCTAAGATTCATCTGCAGTGGCCAACCCAACTAACTCTCCCTTCATATCCTTCCTTTACATGATTTAATTATCATACCTAGAATTTCGATTAAAGCTTCTTCCTCTACACGTGCGTCCATGCAGGGGATCCGATAACTTCAGGATCCCTGTATCATTCCATGATTAGAAAGTATGGCTAGCCTCACATTGGGTCTTTACTTGTATCCGTCAGCAAGTAGGAATTCACTGTAGATAAGGGCTAGCTAGCTTTATATACATAAGAGCCAATACATGGAAAAGCTCGTCCGGGTCGGCGGAGTCGGAATAGGGCCTTGAGCGCTTGTCGCAGCACCCCCATATTAATGCTAGCTACTCCTACAGCGGGGCATACCCTAGTGGCGGAAAAAGATCCGGCTTTTCCGTCACATTGAGAAGTGTAGCAGCAAAACCCCTCTTCGTCGAAGCTGTATTTTCGCTCATGCAACGTATCGGTCTTTAAAGAGCTATTGCATAACTTGTAGAGGAATGTTAAAATACCATTGGCTGAACCTTTCCTAATAGTATATCTTTTGGCTCTCTAATAGGCCATCCATCGTATGTCATTGAATGGATCATGGGACGACAGCGCTACGTGGTGATGATACGTTACGGCTATGCTCGTAGTCACACAACATAACTGCCATGGCAATATTCCGGTTGTTTGTTTATTTATCCAGAAAACCACTGTCGACCCGCCGCTTTCAAGTATCGTTCTTTCTACAACTTCCATTGGTACTGTAGAGATGTAAAGACTTTCAACATTACGAGTTCCCGTTGCTTTCCCTGTAATAAATCCTTCAGCAGCGATGAGGTATTGCAGCAGCATTGACATGACTCTCCAGCTCATGCCTCGTCCTTCAATTGTACACTCTGCCATAAATCCTTCAGCAGCGAGAATTCATTACAGCAGCAGCTACAGGACTCACCCAATCACCACCAACAGAATACCTCGACCCCACTGGATATCTTTTTCCGCTCCTTCCCAACCTTTCCCTACGATACTTCTCTCCCACCCGCCACTTCATACGCAAACCTGCAGAAGCACGAACGATGGCTCCGCGACGATGTCGCATCAGGCAATGCACGGCACAGATACCAAGCTGCACAGCAAAGCGAACTGCACATGTGGTATGGAGCCGGGAACGATTTGAGCGCATGGCACGCACTGTGCCGCGCAATCGGCATCGAGCCGCTTCCGGAAACGTGCGAGCGCCGCTAGGAGGCGAGAGAAGATCATCTGGTGCCCGTGGAAATGGGGTAGAGATTCTCGCTGACGCGGTGACACGCCCAACCGAGAAAGCGGCAATGTTGTCTTGAGACACCTGCTCCGAAAGATCTTTTTGAGATGATGATGATGATTAACGTCCGGGGAGCTTGCTAGGCTCTGAACTCCCGAAGATTGCTAGGGATATGCTACGCCTACGGATTTTTATATAAAAAGGTGAACAAACGCTATAATTTGTATCGAATTACACTCCTCAAAAGAGCTCAGCCTTACATTAATCATAGTTCCCAACAGCAACAAACCTAATAAACGACTATATACGTAAAACCAAATCGTAATCACCCTTCAAGCATTGTAGAAAGCGCCGTAGTATCGTTTTGCATTGAACACAATCGTGGACCCCCAAACCTACTCGCAGGAGTACTAACCCGCATGGCTGGCTACCTTCCATAAAGTTGCACGCCACAGCAGTCCGAGTCGCAAGACTGATATCGCTTTCGAACATGGTGGTGACACGCCATGGAGACCGAGTAAAAGCCTTTTAGAGGCATCGGGAGTAATCAGAGCTCGATGGTAATAGAGCAGGCTGTGCTAAAGGAACTACCAACTCTATTGCGCCCGCCATATACGAAGACATTCCGCAAACCAGGCGCAGGGGCACCGATACGAACCTAATTTTCTGATGAGATGGACATTGAAGAAGCTTGTTGATATATATGCCTACTAGGCAAGAACGTATATATACATATTAGCCAGAAGAGGGAGAGGGAGAGAGGGGAACGAAACCCTTGCCTCCCACCAGAAAAGCACACAAACAAGGGCCCCTAGGACTAAGCAAGCAAAAAGAGCCGCTCGATCGATAGTAATTGGTAATTGGTGGTTCTCCGATATTGTTGTATGTCATATAAATGCACACGCAAACGGAGTTATTCCAGCTCAACTCAACTCAACTCAACTGGACTGGACTGAACAGACTGCCGATAAGTCGACGATGACGATATGTGTATATATAGAATTACTGTAGTTATATATATGATCTTTTATTCAAGTTGGCGACGGCCATGGTCGCGACAGCAACAGCAACAGAGAAACGAACGCTCAGCTGTATGTATAGAGATGAGTTTTAAACCTCAGAAACGTTTCCTCACTGGCAAATGAGGAGAAGAATTACTTACCGTCATTTAAAAGACGAAAGACGAATGAATGATGCCAATAGCATCGCTGTGTCTTTCTTGTAACCAACCAACCTCATGAATTATCATCCCAGCATGGGAAAACTCCAAGACAAATCCATCAATCCATCATCCATCATCCATCATCCATCCATCCAATGATTCCAAAGCACTTGGAAGAACTCTGAACGCTCTCAGAAGACCCATCCTAAATATAAATATAAACATTCATCATCCGGGCTAAGAAATCCTGGGGCTTGAATTTTCATTTCATTTCATCGAGGATGGATTTCTGGCCTAGGATGCTATGCTTGCTGTCTGTAGATTGTTTATAGATATAAACATAAAACTTGAGTGGAAACTAGCTAGATCTTTCTTGAATGCGAGAATCCTTCAGATTCTCACCCCCCTATATAACCATTGGCTGATACAGAACGCAAGTAGAATAAGAGTAAGAATAACACCAATCTATTCCAAGGTCATACAATGCTACGAAAACGAAGCTATACCGGGGGATTCATTATGACTATTCTGCTTGATGTAAACTACACGCAACAACAAAAGACATCTCGAAGAACTTTACGACTGGTGGAAGCCCGTGGATGCGCTGTTCCCTGGTTGAGACTGCGGTCCGCAGCAAGTCATCCCCGGCCGTGTAACTGAGCGCGTCCAAGTACCATTCTGGTGCTCGATATCAAACAATTGACCGCCTTCGACAAGATTGATGGTGATTCAGTCAGAACCCCATCGAAACGCCGAGACGGGCCCTGCTGACCCTTTAACATCTTCCGTGATATGCCATTGAACCCAGCCCCCGCTATACCGGTGTTCCCTTATTCCACTTTCCGTGCTAAGGTAGAGGCGAATCTCGAGAACTTGTCTCTTCCAACAGACGGCAGACATATAAGCTCCTGGCTGTTTGGGAAATTTACCTCCACCGAGATAGTAACCAGGAGCCCCATTTTCCGCTCTACTTGCATTCTGAACATTGTCCCAACATGCTTTCCTAATAATGGATATGATGGATTGCTGCTCATAGTAAAGTCTAATTCCACGATGACCCAGATGTTCAAAGTCAACTACTGATAAAACGGAACCACTAGCAGCGTCTTCTATCTTTGCACCTAATTGCCACTTTTGTTTGTCGGCCCATCCATGAAGAATACTGATGCTTCCATTTTCGGTCTGATAGCAAAGAAGAATATTTAATCTTCCCAGGATGTCACCGCAAGCTGACTGAAAGATGCTGCATTGATTCTACATTGGTTGAGATTGCCGTCAGACCAGAGGGATAGTGGATCCCATACTCGCTCTTGTATGTAATTCTCATCGTTGATGAAGCAAACTCGAATCCAAATAACGGGCATGTATAAGCACACGAATTTGATAATACTTTATAGAAAATAAGCGTACACTTGGCAATCTGTGTCCTTCGTTTTGCTGCCATGCAGTCGCCGCGATGGGGCTACAAAGCTTCGCCTGGCCGATGACCGTTCCTCCACCATTCCATACAGTATCGCCCTGCAACCGAACGTGTTCGCGGATACTACCATGGGTTTCTGCGAGCGAGTAATAGTTAGCAGTCCGTTAATCTCATCAAGAGGCCTTTAGTTAGATAATATCAAAATCTGATGTGTCTGACCTTGAAGATAAAGCAGCTACGTACAGCTCATGAGTTAGTAGGTAAACACATTGAATTCGGGGGTATGACTGAGCTTTCTTACTTGTTCGCCAGGCCATGCAATGGTTGCAATACGGGAGTGCTTCTCCAATGGGACCTTCTCAAAATCATCTTCCAGTGAGGTAACGGCTACGCATCCATTCAAAGTGGAAAGCTTTTCCGCGCAACAAGCACCAAAGAATGGTATCAAAGAGTCACTACATTCTCTTATCTGTCGGAGTAATAATCCTGCAGTTGGTCATGATTTTGAGTCCACGTGAAGCATATCTTTGATCC